AGTGCCTCCTGGGCAAAGGAGAGACTGCATGGCAGCAGCATCCTGTGTGCTGGACTCCGAGTGCTACAGACAGCCTGGCTGCACCTGGCACAGGGGAGTGCAGTACTGAAGGAAGGGCATGAATAGACTCAGGAACCTCCCACCCAAGTCCTTTGGTCTCCAGCCAAGGCCAAGAGGCAAGGCTGGAGCAAGGGAAGAAAACAGCCCAAGGGAGGCATGGGTGGACATGAGTGGGTCTGCAGAGGGAATGAATGAAGTGGCACTGCCCCCCTCCCAGAAATTCCAAAATGTGCTAGCTGTCTGAACATGGAGAGGAACTGGGAGGAAGCTCAGACCCAGCCTCAGTCATTTTCCTGAGCAGGCAGCAGGAGAGGCCTGGAGTGGGGCCTGGACCTGCACATGCAGCTCTGAGAAAACTATGGTGGAGCCCTTCATCTCCCATCCCCTCCCCTGAAGGGGGAAAAGAATGGAGGTCTTCAGGTGGCACTGGGCCTGGTCCCCCGGGTCCCTCATACTACTAGAACCAGCCTGCTGCCCATGGGGTGGCAAGGGGGCAGGGTGGGAGGGGCCTGTTCCCATGCAGTGCCAGTATTCTCAGCCCCTTGTGTATGCTGCCTGCTTTGGTGCATCCTCTCCCAGAGACCAGGGCAGGGCCATGCCCACAGCCAAGGCAGTGGTGGCAGGTGGTAGGATGTGCTCAGTGCTTTGCATTCCTCTCCCAACAGGCCAAAGAGAGCATTGAGCAGCTGGTGTATCTGTGCCAAACTGACAAGGAAGATGTGCGGGAAGCAGCCAAGCAAAGCCTGATGCTGTGTGGTGAGCACTCTGCTATTCCCTTCCCCACCCTCAGCCCCACAGCAGATGGCTCCAGTGGCAGACAGGGCCTTCTAGAGCCCACAAGTCTGCTTGCAGGGCTCTGTGCCCCAGCACTGCCTGGGCTAGCTCGCCTGGTGGAAGGACTGGCTGGCTGAATGTGGCAGAGGCCTTGGTTCCATTCCTGGCTTCACACACAGTCCTATAGCAGAGCCCTGCTGTGCCGCCAGGGCTTTCCCCTCCCCTTGTGTGGGAGCCATCCTAGGACCTGCTTGGGGTAAGAGCTGACACAGGGCTCCATCACCCTGCAGGCAGGATGGCCTGTGAGCTGATGCTGTTCAGGTGCTCCAGAAACCTGCATTGCTAAGTGTCCTTGTTATTTATTATCATTTATTAGACGGCACTGAAAGAACCATCTGATTGGCTAACTAGGCTTCCGGGTCAGGAGAGCAGCCACACAGGTTGGGATGTGTTAGCCGGAGTCGTGTCCCCTCCCTGCTCCTGCTGCTTTGCTCACGATTGTCTGTTTTGGATCCTGTTGGCCGTGCCATCTTTTTATTTTTTTTAAACACCTGTCTTTGCTGTCTGTGGCCCCCAGTCTCTGTGACGCTCCCGCTTTGCGTGGGCACATCGTGCACGATGTCATGACCAAACCTGTCTTGTCACGGCTGCTGAATGCCCTTGGCCTGCTCACGTGCACGTGTTTGTAAGACTGCTGCCCTCTGGTGGCTACAGATAACACCAGATGAAAGAAAGGTTTCTTTCCTTAGCTGAGGTGGTGGAGACTATGGCTCCTGGAAAACAGTATCTTAGGTCTCTGGCCCACCTCCACAGATTAAATTATTCAAGATTAAACTTAATTTGAACATCAAAACCCCAAGACCCTTAGGATATGTCTGCATCAGGGCAGCAGAGGTCTCAGCCTCGCCATCAAGGAAATAAGCACCACCCACTTGCTCCACCCATGTCAACCCTGGAAGTGAAGTGAGGATGGCCTGGGAGCATTGCTTTTAAGCATGCTAGAAATCCAAGCTTTGAGTATGGCACCACGGCATCCCTGGTGCCCAATTCCAGGGCTGACATACATGGAATAGGAACAGGTGGGCAGGACCTACCAGTATTTCCTTGGTGGTGAGACTGAGCACTCTGCTGCTGCGGTCTAGAAATGTCCTTAGCCTGAAGCTGGCTGTTGCAAACTCTGTGTTCCTGGAGAGTTGAACACTGGGGAAATGAGAATACATCTAGCATAGTCTTTGCTCTTCATTGCTCTGCTGAGACACCAGGGTGTAGAGGGTTTAGGTTGGCCACAACCCATGGCTGCATCTTGGAAGACAGCTTATTGGCCAGGCAGGGCCCACAGCTGGTGTTGATGGCTGACTGTGGCTTATTTTTGCAGGGGAGGATGGTAAGTCTGCTCACCGCCGGCTGGAGGAAACCCTGGACAGCTTACCAAGGATCTTTGCCCCAGGCAGCATGGCCAGCACGGCTTTCTGAGAGATGCCAGTACTTACTTACCCTGATCCCTTTGGGGCAGAGGCACCGTCGAGCTGCCCTAGGCTCACATGGACTGGTCCAGACCCAGCGTGTCATGGCCTGACGCAGCTCCCAGCCCTTTGGAACAACGAGCAGTATTAGGACCTCCCCAGCAGCTCGCACAGCCCATTCACTGCCTTACAGAGCACAGCTTTCCCTCACACCCGGACACTGGGCTAGAGGAGGCTGCTGCATACATGATGCCACAGTCTCTCTGGGGATTGGGGCCTTGGGCACTCCTCTCCTACCTTGCTTCTCTATTTGAACTTGCTGGGTGGAGCTGGAGTTCATGCACCCCCTGCCGGAGATAAGATTGGCATGTGAAGGCTGCATCAGGACTCCTCTTCTACTTGCCTTCCAGTAGCTTGCAGGCTGCTTGGCCTTCCTGGGATGGACATGCACTTTGACGCTGTTATTTCTTCTTGGGAGCTCCTTTGCTATGGGGATTGTCCCCATTCAATGCTTGGAGTCCCCAGGACTTAATAAAACAAGACATAGATATTAATATATTCTGCTGGCATTTCTTCTTTTCAGCTCCAAGTGCCTCCTGCTGGTGTTGGCTGCAGGGAGCACACAGCATTATGCAGGGACCCAGATTGGAGCCTTCCCCTGGGGCTTAGCTGGTTCTTAAGGTGTGCTGTGTAGAGGGCATGGAAAGGAGGACCAGACAGAGGGACACACAGACAGAAGCTGCCACCTTTTTTTTTGGTTTTTTAATTTAATTTTTTATTTACAGAATTTTTTTGCAGAAAAACAAAAGCAAAAAATCCTTTTCTATAAAGTCTCTATAAATCTATATATAATGTAATTACAGAGAATGGCTAATTTTGATTTAAATTCAGAAATAAAAATAAACCTTTAATGAGTGAAGGTGTCATTTTGTGACAGCGTTGCAGGCAGCAGGGAGTCGGGATTGGGGAGTTCTAGGGCTCTGGGCTATGCTAGCATGGGTTTGTTAGTAGAGCAGGAGGGCTACTTCCTGCTCAGCCCTTTGTCTGGGTCCTCTGGCAGATCAAGTTGTACCTCTCTGTACCTGCCCACCTGTAATGCAGGGATGCTGAATCTCCCAGGGCTAGATAGCCAAATTGTCAAATTTCTCTAGCAAAACTTCCAACAGGACTACCTGTAGTGTCCTCACATCCAGCCTGGGAATATAGGGGGCTCACGGGTCTCCCAGTGCTGATGCCAAGTGTGTGAATAGTGACTGTTGTTCTGCGATGCAGTAACATATAAAGGCCCCAGCAAGCAAAAGGCCACCACACAAAGGACTCTTCTCGCTGTGGGTTCTAGGTATTCAACAGTCTGGCTTCTGTAACATACAGAACTAACCCACGCACCCACCTCCATGTCAATGCAGGCAGTTGCCAGTGCAAGCACCAGAGGCAGCCAACCACCCAAACTGAGCCCCACCAATGGAGCTGTCAGGAGAAATGCCTGTTCCTTGCCTCGCCATCTGCATGAAGCTGAGAAGGAAGCCATGTGTGTATGGAACAAGGACGACGATAGGCCCAACTTGTATAGGGTGTCAGCAACATGGCAGGGGCAACAGCTGGAGAGTGAGTATTTTTCTGCTTATAACTCACCCACCAACAGCTCCTTTGTGTTAGTGAGTTGCAGGGTGCAGACCTGTGTCAAAAACCTGTCTGAGAATAGCACAGGAATGCATTTGGGCCATCTTCTTTAAGGGCATGCAGTAGCAGCTGATCATGAGGTTCTTGCCTCAACTCTGTGGTCTCCACATCAGTCTTGCAATCTAATGGAAATCCCAGCACACAAAGCTCTTTGTGGAAGGGTTCAGAGCCAGGGTTATCTTAAGGCTTGTTCTTTTGCCAAAGAAACCTTCTTCTGACCAAGAACATGAACCTCAGCCACTCAAATAATGGGTCTTAGAGCCACAGCAGCTGGCTCTATATTCCCAATATTAGTGGTATGAGCCAGACTCTTGGATACCAATGTGCAGGCTGGCTTGTACTTGTGGGAACCAGCATCTAGTAAAGCTTTAACCCCTTTCTTCCACCATACTGAGCTTTCTGCAGTGCTCAGGGACATGAGGAAAGCTGTGCAGTCCCAGCATGTGACCCTGGGAAGGATGATGGGGAGGGGAGTGGCTGGAGTTCTTACTAGTCATCCCTTACGTTCTTTCCAGAAGGAAAAATGTAACTTCCATCAACTGGCAGAGGTCCTCCATATCTCAGATAGCTGGTGTTTATGTTGTAGCTCAGTTTTCAAACAACAGCATCAACTCAAATGGAATTGTATTGGGAACACTTATTCTATACTTGCTTTAAGTTAGTGATAGGCTGTTCTGAAACAGGCATTCTTCAGGTGTGTTGGCAACTTGGACATGGCAGGACTGAAAGCCAGGACAAGAACTAATTGCAGAAATGTGTCCTTTGGGCTGTGGGATGTCCTGCAAAGAACCAGGACAGTAACAGTAATTGGGGTGACTGGATTCAAGAACTTTGTGCTTTCAGAGCAAAGTCTGCTTTCACTATTTGGCCTTAACTTGTCACCTTAAACAATGTTAGTGCCTCTTCTTTGAAAGGCAAAAGTAGATTTCTCCCTTCTCTGAACTCCATAAAAGCTAAAAGGATCTTGCATAAACCTAGAAAAATAATAGCCAGCAGGCAGAGACTGAGCCTGGAAATCCATCCTCTAAAAGGGTGTTGGTTCAGCATGGTGGGAACAAGAAAGATTGGATTGGATGCTGCCCTAACTCTTAAGGCTGCTGCTATCCAGACCTGAGATTACTGATAGGAATCTAGGTTATGCATGGGAAACGAGAGGCAGTTCTTTGGTGACAGAATGCAAAAACCTTTGCTTTCTCCCATGCCTTGAGCAGCAGACAAGTGCAGGTGGCTCAGTCTATTTAGATATCTGAGCACTGCCCCTTATCAATATTAAGAGGCAGACAGGGCTGCACCAGGCTCTGACCAACTGCAGTCATGGCAGAGTGGTTGAGTGTGTTAGTCATGTTTCCTTGCCCATCTGCCTGGTGTAGAACAGAGGAAGGCATGTTAAAGGGGATAGAAAGATGGGACTTTACAACTGAGATCCAACCACAAAACTCTTCTCTCCCCCCAGCTGATAGTCATTTGTGAGCCCTTTAAGTCTCAGACTTCTCCACAGCTCCTAGGAAGCATGGACCTCTTCCTCCACCCCACCCCACCCCATGTGTTGCTTTCCCAGCGTACCTATGCTCTAGGATAGGAATACTCAGTGGTATCCTGGCAGTCATGGTTAATCCTTGAAGAGGAGCCAGGATGAGACTTCCCTCCAGTTTTAAACTTTCTGTCTCCTAGAAGTTTCATCCTTCTGTAGCAATCCTCATTCACTAATAGAAAACAAGACTGTTGTGAAGGTGAAGCTGAAGCTGTTCTCCCTTCATATTTTGCCTTTGAACTCACTCTCCACTCCCCAATTGGGATCTCCCAGTTTCTGCTGCTGAAAGAAACCCCTTAAAAATGTGTTAAATTGCTCTGCTGCGTATGTTGTGTGCCTGAGGCTCCTGGAAGTGGTCCCGGAAATGCAGTTTCTTTCCTCTGTGCATCTGACAATCTTTGGTGCCCATCTGTATCATTGTTTCTGTTGTAAATTCAGTCAGTTCCCTCTTCTTCCTGAGGGTCTCACAACCAGGGGGAACATGTTTAAAAACAGAAATGGAGCTGCAAAGCCACAAACTGATAGATGTCAAATCACCCATGTCCAATCAAACAACTGTTAAGAAAAAACAAAACTTCCTAACTGTAAGAGCAGTTCTCAACCTTGTCAGAGTCCCTCCCCAAGTTTTCTGAATGTGGTGGCAGCCCTGATTGAGAACAACTGTTGTGTTCAACTTGCTTCAGAGATGCTCAACCAGGTGTTGCCACCTCCAGGTAAAACTTTCCCGTGCTCCTGCTGTGCAGCCAGACTGGGAAGGGCTGTGGCACATGCTTGTGTTCCTGCTGCATTAGATTACTCTGGTAAGCCTAAAGCAGGAAGGACAGCAAGCTCATGTTCCAGCCCTTCCCGGCCTGACATCACAGCATCTTCCAGCAACAGAGGCAGGCAGAACTGTCCTATGTGCCTGTTTCCAGGAAGAATAGGGAGGGAGCCATAGGGAGAGCTGCAGCCTGATTCGACTCTACCTAATGCAAGAGGAGCATGTGCATACTGCTGCCCTGCCCAAGGGGCAATTTTACCTGGTCCCTGCAACCACATGGTGGCATCTGCATTACAGCAACCCTGACAGGGGTCTCATGACATCCCAGGGTGCTGCAGCACCCTGAGAACCGCTGCCTTGGAGCAAAACAAGTCATCATCACACAGTTAAGACTATTACTAGACCCAAGTTTTCCTAAATTCATGTGCTTTTCTCAAAGATGCAAATAATAGGTGGTCTTGAACAAATGATACTTCTTTCCCTGAAAAGAGCAAAACCTGTATCAGTGGCACAGTGAGTTAACTAACCAGAGCAGGGTGTTCCAGACTAGGTGTTTCCAGAGAGAAAAAATGTTAACGTGTAAAAGTTAAGAGGCAGAGACATCCATACAAGCCCTTAAAAACAAGGGAATGTCACATGACGTTATTTTATCTGTATACTTGCCATTCACTGAGACTAGCCCTCTGTATAGAAGACCCAGAGATTACCCATTGCTTATTATTGCTATGTAACAGTTCTCTGCAACATCATCATACCTTAGATGTTTGTGCAGCAGTGAACTGATGACCTGTGTGCATGGGGAAGCAGATGGTCAGTTAGTGTTGTATTGTGACTGGATGGTGAGGAATACAATTTGTATACTGCTACTGTACTCACTGGAAATTTTGGGGACTTGCTGATGGTTGGCCTTAACAAAGATAGATCTGTGCCAGAATTTCCTGGGAGGTTTTAAAAGTATATGCTTGAGTTATGTAGAAAAAAGATCTCTTCTCCTTCAATACTGTGAGAATTTGCATGCAGGGTGGCAGTTTCAAAGGTGCAGATTTGTACAGGTCAAAATCAATGTTTTTTTTTCTTCGTAATTATGTAAAGAAAGTAAACTTTTTCCTGACAGTGATGACCCACGTGTAACAGAACAGTTCAGCCTCTGACAAATGGAACATACCGAACAGGAATAAACATTTCATCCTGCATGATTATGCTAAAAATGTTGAAGTATTAGTTTCTGTGTATATTGTGATTAATGTTTTTCCTTATTTTAAGTTTTGATTTAAAACATGAGGTACATCATTCTCATTTGTAACATGGCTCTAATTACAAACCCAACCACAAAGTAATCATTAGTGGCTGCCTCTGCAAACTTTGGTTGAGTGACTTGCCCATATGACATAAGAAGTCTGTAGAAGAGCCAGGGACAGAACCCAGCCCTGAGTCCCAGGCCAGTGACTTACATCATGACAATCCCATAGAATAAAGAGCGTATGATCATATAATTAGATGGTTCACTGCCCAAAAACTTCATCAGTGTACAGTTAAGATTGTTTTGGCAGTGCATTGTACCCTTCCACAACATGAAATGCATCAACACTGAAACCTATAGAAATGGAGTAGCTCATGCCAGTCCAGTCTGCAACCTTAACCGTGACTCTCAGGGCTAGCCAGAACAGCTGAGGATAGACTGGAGGTGTATTTCAGCCAGGGCTACATTATAAAAGAACACACAGAATGACAGGGCTTCTCTAGGGCCTATGACCAGAATGATCTAACAGGAATTCATGACTTTTGCAAACTTCACCATCTGTAGCTACAAGCATGTTTCTTTGACATGCCTGTGGATATAATAAAATTCCAAAACATTCCCGTAAACAAGAGACAAGTTGGTTAATGCTGCTTAATGCATTACTAGAAGATACTTGGATACTGTTGTGATGGCTGCAACACGAGCCTATAGAGCAGGGGTTCAAACATATAGCCTGTGGGCTGGATCCAGCCCAGTGAGTTGTTTCATTCACCCTGCAGGGCTCCCAGAGGGGCAGGGAATTTACGGATGGGGCCAGTAGGGGCAGAATCTACCACTGAAGTCCAGCAACAGAGCCCCAGTCAGTCGGTGCATGTCAACAGTGGAGGGGCGCAAGGAATAGCTGCATTACTCCCCAGACTGCTGCCATTTGCTACGCTGCTGCTGCCAGGTCTGGATCTGGCCCAGTGGCAACAGTGATTTTGACACCTCTGTTATAGAGACCAGGAAGCAGGCCGCTTTGTCCCACAGACCTGGTATTTCAACTTTTGTCTACATGCACTTCTGGCTGTGCATCATACTTGGTGACAGCTATAGGGCAGTGCAGCCATTACATGCAGCAGGTTCCAACAGTTCAGGCTGCTAGACGAAAGATGCCTCTGCACCAAAGGGTTTTATTTCTGCACTGAGCCATGTGGGTTTTGTAAGTGAGCAACCACAACTATTTTGCTCTTGCTGCAGAAATCTGTAGCAGACATGACAGTGCGTGACAAAAAGGGTGTGTCACAGAAGCAACAGTTAAAGTAAAGATTAAGGGTTAATAAAGTACCCCAGTATTAGCACCTGTTAGGCAGAGCAGGCTAAGTGGCAGAATTTTTGGCTGGCTGGTATTCACAAAGCCAGCCCTACAGGTGCCTTTTGCTTTAGTGAGGGGACATGTTGTACGCAACAGGGCTCTGTCAGTGCCCCATGCTCTGTTGAAAGACAGACTCGAATGCTGTCTGCCAGGGACAGGCCAGGGCAATGCATAGAGAAGGCAGAGTTAAAGTTGCAAGACATGGCTCATCTGATACAGTTCCCCGTTCTTCGGTGGCTTTAGCACAGGTATGCCTGACATCTTGAAGAGTCCAAGGCAGTGCCAAGCTACCTAAACTCTGTGTTAACTCACTCTTGAGGGAGTAAATTTCCCTTAGTTGTTTGCGGGTGAAATGGTGATAGCGACTGATGGGCACCTCTTAGACATAAAAAAATGTTCCCTGGGAACACCATGCTTCCCATTAACGACCAATAGTGCTATCTATGTTCCTGGCCCCACCATGAGGGGCCATGAGGACAATAAAGCAATGTGCATCTCACTAACCACTAGATACTGCACCTGAAGGCAGCTAAAGTAAAGGCACTTTCAGATGTCACATGGCATTTTTAGGGGCTAAGTGCAGAACAGATTCTGTACAACCTGTAAGAGCAGGAACCCACAAGTACGAAGTGGCCCATTCATCTTAATGGGTTTTATTTTAAAAGATCAGAACACTACTTTACAGATAAGAGTTGTAGGCTTGGAAGGGATCTCAAGGGTCACCTAGTCCAACCTGCTGCATAAATGCTGGATGCACTGTTCCTGTAGATGAATACAGCCTGACACAATAGCTCTGACACATATGAACTGACCCATTCATCTCAGCAGATGCTCTTTCTCCCTGGCTGCCAAAGCCTATTCCAGCTCTGTTGTGGAATAGTAATTTTCAAGACAATCTAGCAATACACCTAGTTTAGAGCAATTTAAAATCAGCTCCTGAGGCAAGAAGTTGCAAAAAGGCTCCACCTTCGCACTTGAGTACTCTTGCTCCTTTTGTAGCATTCCAGTATTCCAAATAACCTCACTCCGCACAAGGAATTTACAGCACTTTGAAAATTAAAAATAAACTCTAAGTAAGAAGAAATTTGATATCAGGAAGCTTTTGACCAAATGATCCCAAGCTCATACCTCTACTTATTGCAGAGCTAACACAGTTCAAGTTACATCCAATTTCCATTTTACTAGGCAAGGGGTCTTCAAATATACCATCTCTTGAATTAGCCTTTCACTTTAAGATATTTACTGTAGTTCGTGCATACCTTGGATTTTTTGTAAGTTTTTGGGAAGGCCATTTGAGTTGCTAAGACCATTTGCTGTGTGACTAAAACTTATGTAGTGTAAGAGTTATGCTGTAGCCGTTATGTTTCAGAAATTATGCAAGAGGCAAGGATTTCTTAGGGTGGTATCTTTTATTGGACCAACTATGTAAACATAGGTCCAATAAATTATATCACCCTAAGAAAGCCTTGCCTCTTGCATAAACTTCTGTAGCATCTGACATTACTTTCAGAGCTTTTTCACAGAAACTACTACAGCACTTTGAGGTGAAACTGCTGTGTGAGACCCCTTGGTTTGTGTAAGATGGACAGATTTTGTTACAGAAATGTATTTTGCATTTATTTTCTATGATAAAGTTGCTGAGATAGTATCCTGGCACTACCACAGGTAATGTTAACATTATGTTAGTCCTTTGAATATGGCTGTTTTATTAATACATTTACTTGATGCTTAGTAACTGCTTTGATCAGGCTGATGAGAACAGCAGCTATTTACTTCCTTGATCATGTGCGGTCTTTATTCAGGAAATGGGAGAGAAGTGTGTGTCATTATACTCCCATAACACTTCTGCTAATGTTCTCTCTCAAACGTTGTTCCCAAGGAAAAAACTTCCAGAAGGAGCCCCTTCAAAATGCCGGTACATGGTTGTGGTGGGTGTGACAGCTACCACATATTTTGATCTATCCAGCTACTTTGATGGTAGAGCATTTGTACATACTAGGGCTGTGCGAAATTTCACCGGGTGTTTCGTTTAGATGTTTTGATGCATTCTGAGCTCGAAACAGCGAAATCAAAACAAAACAAAAGCCTTCGAAATAGCTTCAAAACGAAACAAGGGCACTCGAAATGTTTTGAAATGGTTTGAGTTTTGAAGCCAGGCTTACCTGGCTTCAGTGCCCAGCCGGCAGCAGCAGCCTCCTGTGATCCGGCACAGATCCAGGGGCCGTGCCCCCCAAGAGGATTCTGGCACAGCCCCCAGCCCTCCCATGTTTTGAAATGGTTTGAGTTTTGAAGCCAGGCTTACCTGGCTTCAGTGCCCAGCCGGCAGCAGCAGCCTCCTGTGATCCGGCACAGATCCAGGGGCCGTGCCCCCCAAGAGGATTCTGGCACAGCCCCCAGCCCTCCCAGAGGTGCAGGCCTCTGGATATGCACGCCTGATGACAGCATGTTGTCACTGCAGGCTGGGGCCAGTGGCAGCACCAATTTTCCCAGTGTGGGCTGTGTCCAGTGCCGGTCCCAGCTGGCAGCTGCAGTCTCCTGTCATCCGGCAGGCAGACTGGGGGTCCGCCTGCGCCCCCGGGACAGCTGTGGGGCTCTTCTGGACTCCTCCTGGGGGTGCAGGCCCCCGATCTGCCTGCCGGATCACAGGAGGCTGTTGCTGCCAGCTGGGACTGGTGCTGGTCACAGCCCACACCCACCGCCGGGAAGACTGGTGCTGCCGCCAGTTCCAGGAAACAGAAGCACCTTCCTGTGATCTGGCAGGCAGATCAGGGGCCCACCTGCCTGGGACCAGTGGCAGCACCATTCTTCCCATTGCTGGGTATGGGCTGCGCCCAGCAACAGTCCCAGGTGGCAGCAGCAGCCTCCTGTCATCTGGCAGGAAAATCAGGTGCTGCACCCCCAGGAGGAGTCCAGCATAGCCCTCCTGGGGTTGCAGGACCCCAGATCTGCCTGCCAGATGACAGGAGGCTGCCGCTCCCAGCAAGTGACAGTTTTGCTTGTCAACACCTTGAATTGCAGTTTCCCAGAAACCTCCGCACCTACCTCCTTGAAACTTGGGAGGCTTCATGCCCTCAGAAGGGGCTACCATCCCTGCAAGTTTCAACCAGATCAGGCTAGAAACTACAAACAGCAAAACAGTTGAAATAAAATGAAAGAGTGCTTTTGAAATGAAATGAAATTTGAAACAAAACTGTTCCATCGAAAAAGTCAAAGCAGAATGGTGCTGTTTTGCACAGCCCTAGTATGTACTTTGATTTGCAACAGAGACTCAATCTTGCTACAAAAGCACAAATTACTTTCTTTAGCCTGTGCCACATTGAAGATCCCCAAATACCTTTTTCAAGCATTGTTTCCCAAAAGAGCTATTGTGAAACACTTTGATCATAGCTAGGTCACTCCCAAGCAGGTGATACTACTTGAGATTTACAGCTCTGATTCTCCAAGGTACATAAAACTAGAAAGGATCTCCTGGATCATCAAATCTAGTCCCCTGTGTTCCTGGGCAACATAAATCCTAGGAAGCCCCAGAACTGTCACTTCAAATCCTTCAGACTTGCATACACCTACAAGACACAAGACTTGAAACACCCCGAACAACACCCTCTAGGCATGCCATGCGTAAAAGTAGGTAAAATGAGGGCACTGCCAGTGCAAGGTGGTTGTTGAGAGAGAGGAGAGGGGACTGTGGAAAGTTGATATTAAATGATTTTCTATTTGTTAGATTTATATACTACAGGAGTTGCAAACTAAATCCCATTGACTAAATATGGGAAGTGGCCACGATGTGGCATGTTTGCCTTCGCTAATCACCATCTTTGCACAAAAAGCATCTGGAGAACCCCCATGCCACTTGTGTGAACAGCAATTGTTACTGCTAGTAACAATATTTTCCAGCAACAGCAACACTTTCCATTCCTACCTTGTTTCCCTGAGCAAGCAAGCTACTTTTTCAACCAACACTAGGTAAGTTTCAAGATAGCTTTGATAGCTTGCAGTGGCCCTTGGAGTCTGCGTGGTCTGGTAGACAGATCAAGATACCTAGGAATTTCTAATCCCTGTTCTATGCTAATTTGCAGAACAATTGTAGGCAAATACGATGAAGTAAAAATGAAGGAGAAAAAACAGCCCCTACTTTTGCATGCCTAGTTTGGAGACCTGGTTTTGAAAGGTTCAGAGTACCTACAACTACAAGTGAAGTCCAGGGGAACTGCAGTCAGAAAGCATCTCCAAAATTAGTAGCCCCCCCACCCCCATCCCAATTAGCAGCCATTCCAGAACACTGTAGCTATAACCATTCTCTTTTTGCATCTGAGAAATGCTAATGCTATTTATCCTCAAGAGATGTTATGATGGTAAGTTAGTATTTGTACCTAGTCCCTTCATAGAACTAGAGCCTCTGTGCATTACTACATGCTTCAATTGTATATGATTGGTAAGACACAAGTACAATAGCCAGGAGGGATATGCTATAGCTTTAGGTGTACTGGCAGGGCTGTCAAGTTGTAGGGGAAGGACTGGAACAGCAGGAAATGCCTGAGGTGATGACTGAAGTATAATAGCAGATGCAGCAAGAAGATGGGAAGAGTGATAGCAGGACCTTGGAAAGAACTGCATTTATATATGGATCATGGAACGCCTGACCTACAAGAAATGAGCTTAAGGAGTTCAAATATCATGTGCCAGAGCAACTCTAAGAACCCAGATGGTAAACTTCCTGATACGGAACAAATGAAAACGAAGCTGTGGCAACTGATTGTCATGGAACTGCTAGAACTTAAAGAAGGCAATTGAGTGGCTAAGGCAGTGTTTCACTTACTTCCTGGCTGAAGGCTTTTGTGCATTTTAAAAAATATTATAACAAGTGATCTTCTAGAGGAAATAGACACAAATCCAGCTAATAGCTGAACTGGGTTTTGAACTGAATGCAGATATTACCTCTGTACTTAAGACACTGTCCTCACCAAATTACAGTACCAAAGTTTTGAGAAATTACAAATGAGTTGAAATAAATTCAAGATAAGCCCTTGAAGACACTGCCAGACATTTTATTACCCTAAATGATCTTAACAGATTCCTTAAAGTCCATATAGATAAAACTGAAGAACTGTTAGGAATAATGATCATACTTTTTTCTCCTTCAGCGAAAGATAGAATGATAAGATCATCTCAACTGATTGTTGCCCTTCATAGTTATTTTGCATGCTACAATTCCGTTGCTTGTAATGAGACAGCAGATTGTCTCATGTCAAGGGTACTACTTTAAAAGAATATAGTCTCAGTTGTTACTGCTTCTGAACTGTTCAATGGGCATATGTTAAGTTTGAGCAGTGGTGCTTGAAAGACTCATAGTTTCATAGCTGGTAGGGGCGGAAGGGACCTGAGCAGATCATCAAGCCTGACCCCCTCCAGGGCAGGAAAAAGTACTGGGGTCAAACGACCCCAGCAAGGTGTTCGTCTAACCTCCTCTTAAAGCCCCCCAGGGTAGGAGCCAGCACCATTTTGCTTGGAAGTTGGTTCCAGGTCCTAGCCGCCCTGACTGTGAAGTAGCGCCTCCTAATGTCTAATCTGAATCTACCCTCTGCCAGCTTGTGACCATTATTCCTTGTCACTCCTGGTAGTGCTCGGGGGAACAGGGACTCCCCCATTGCCTGCTGGTCCCCTCTGACTAGTTTGTAACAGGCCACTAGATCCCCCCTCAGCCTTCTCTTGTGGAGGCTGAACAGGTTCAGGTCCCCTGAGCAAAGAAAGGTCAGCAACATGCAGCCCACAAAGCCACTAGATCCAGCCAAGAGCTGCAGGGTTTTACCTGTGCCTGCACCAGGGCTGGGCTGTGGAAGGTGTGCCCAAGCTGCCACTCTCTCCACTCCTTTCCCTTCCACAGCTAGTGGAGAGCTGCGCTGGGGCTTACCAGTTTCCAGCTGCACCCATGCCAGAGTCAGGGGCCAGAGATATACATGATATCAACACAGATGCATATTCCAGCGGGCTGGTCATCCCCAACTCAATTTCCCACCAGCTGGAAGCTGCACCCAGGCCACAACCAGGGAGTAGAGGGCACAGAGAAGCAGCAATATGGACACAGTTCCCAGCTGGTTGGCTGCAGCATGGGCACAGGCAAAGTCCCATGCTGCTGAAGCCACATGAGATAGCTTGTGAGGGTTACCAGCTGCTGCCCTAGAACATTGTTGCTTTGGTTCCATTTGGGACTCTAGGCCTAATTTCCCAGCCCCACAGTCCTGATTACTGTTTCATGCAGTTCTGCTCTGACTGCCCCTCTCTATCTACGCATCTCAGCTCAACTTCACTTTAGTATTACCTACAGTGGGATTTAAAGATGTGATGTGCACATACTAATTAGTATGTTCTAAATATCTAGCATAAATAAGGCAGCAAATCTTTTTACCACTTGCTACAGAGGTCGAGTTTAAGCCTAGACAGAACAACTTTAGATTCGCCCAGCAGTGATACCTTGAAAAAGGGGAAATTGAAAAAAAATTGAGTTTTAAATTTCTGGTTTTGTAACTGTTGCTGGAAGGGTAATTACATCCCTGTATTTTTTTTTTATCCCTAAACATTGACCTTTTATTCCTAACCTTAAATCCATTTTAATGTAGGAAGAAATACAACATGGATGGAAAGTTCTCTTCCTCTCAACTGCCTGTCAGACACTTAGCAGGAGGTATGAAGCAATGCTACTAGAAAAGAAAAGGAATTGCTGGAACTAGAAAGTTCTGCAGTAGATAGGACAAAGTTACAGAAAGTTATACTGAATGAAAAAACAGGCTAGGAGCCTCCCAGTGTGTTCAGAACTTTTTGGGCAGAATCACTCCTCCTCTCCAGGGAAATTAAGCGAGCTGCAGTTGTCCCCTTGTTTACACACTGCTGGTTCTGTTAAGTCCATTCCTTACGAACCTCAAATCCACACAAATGATCTGCACATTTACAAACTGCCTTGTTGGAGACTGAAATCCTATAGCTTTGAACAAAATAAAGACAACAGCACATCCTACCTAATGGTATCCATCTCACAAGAAGGCAGAATCCACAGCCTAAAAATTTCTCACCCATTCTATGGTAACTTAAACAGTGATGCCAGCTGTGATGGTGAGTGCTGTTCTAACATGCAACATGTCTATATGGAAGTAAGAAACCAAATTAATCTC